ACACACACACACACACACACACACACACTACTATATATATATATATATATATATATATATATAGTCATTGCGATAACCAGCACTCTATTTCTGAATCGTATGCGATAATCATTCCTTGGCCATCGGTTGATAAAACTGTGAGCAGGATTCTACTATCGAGTACCTATACTGGTTGTTGATCTCTGCTCACTTTGTGTTTAAGTGTCACAATACAATGTTGTCGTTTGCTTTGACTGTAACATATCTGTCCATCCTTGTTTATTAATTACATGCTCACCCTTTCCATTCACATTCGTATCCAGAATGGAAACCTTACGACCGTGGAATGAGTTTGCAAACGTCTCATACTTCTCCAAACCCGAGTCAGTGGGACAGGCCATGGGACGCGCCTCCTTCAATGTTCGGTACTTCGCCACCAACTACTTCATGATCTTCATCGGACTCTTTGTCTACTCTCTGTAAGTAGTGAATGCACCCGCTTGCATAGGGCATATAGCAAACGGACGTACATGTATGCGTATGTGTGTGCATGTAGGCTTTGATTCCAGAATGCTGGACTGACTGACATTAGCCTCACCTAGCTTTCCCTCACATTCTTATCCTATTCTCACACACTCAGCATACGTATACTTATTGTTCCTTAACCCTAAACCCTAAAAGCTTTCCCTCTCATTCTTATCCTATTCTCACACACTATACTTATTGTCCTGCTATTTTTCTATACCATTCCAATCTCCAGGGTTACGTCACCGTTCTTGCTCCTTGCCGTAGCCTTTGTGCTCGCTGGCTCGGCCGGTATTCTGCACTTGTCCGATAAGCCCCCTCTGGTAATCGGGGGCAAGGAATGGAACACCCGGTCCCAAAAGATAGCGTTGGGGTGCATTGCTGTCCCATTGTTCTGGCTGGGCTCAGCGGGCAGTGTTGTGTTCTGGTTGTTGGGTATGCCTGTGCATTCATATAGTGCCTCGTCCACGATGGCATTTACAATGTATTGCTCAATTTCAGTTAGGCGCGAGCGTACGTATATGTATAGTGTATGCATAGTGTATATATTTTGTGTATGTAAAGTGATAGTGTATGTGTAGTGTATGTATAGTGTATGCAGAGTGTATGTACTATAGGATCCGTCTCGTCTGGCTTCAAATAAGACTGACATTGCGCGTAGCTTGATTAACTAGCTACGTGTATCCCTGTGCCCTTTAATCTAATAACTACTTAAACTCTCCTCTGGGCTTATGCTTCTGCCACCCATACATATACCCATTCTACTTACATATAGCCATCGTACTTACATAGAGCCATCCTACTTGTATCTGTCCGCACATTCGTATGTATTTCGCCATGTACATCTGTTTCTCCAGTCTGCTTCGCCCAACCTTTCCGTATCCATGACAACCATTCTGTATGCGTGTTCATTTATTCAAGTTTCATACGTTTACAAACCGACTAGCTTATTACAATCCACTCTGAACTGTTTTCTACCAGGTTGCTCGGGTGTGGTCATTCTTGCGCACGCGTCCTTCCTAAATAATGATATGATCGCCAACTCGGAGGAATGGGCCAGGGAAATTGATGCTGTCGCTTAAACACGTATACAGCCTACTTTGTATCAGAAGTATGCATGGCTAGTATGTATACTAGTTATGCATATTATCCATGTATGTATAGTATGTACACGTATTTATACATACTATCCATGTATGTATATGTATCTATACAGTCAGCTATGGACAGATTCTAGGCATCCGAATGTAGGCCTGTACGTGCAAACCATCGGTCCGAATGAAGGGGCGGTGAACGAGTCTCATGATACGCCTTGTACGGATTAAGAGGCCAGCGGCAGTACCAATAAGACGAATATAAAAAGAATAAAGAATCAGATTGCTCAAATGTATATGTGACCACATATGAATGTACATATGACCACATATGTAATATATCTGTGTGTGTTGCATTGTTGCACGCACTTCTACACCGAATGCTTGGGACCAAATGCACAGAGTTGATATGGTGTGTGTTCCAATACGCATACGTATTTCTTTCATACATATACTCACGTTTCATGCATATATGTACTCACGTTTCATACGTATACGTAGTCACGTTTTATACATATACGTAGTCACGTTTCATGCATATATGTACTCACGTTTCATACCTATACGTAGTCCTGTTTCAGGTATATATGTAGTCATGTTTTATACATATACGTAGTCACGTTTCATGCATATATGTACTCACGTTTCATACATATACGTAGTCACGTTTCATGCAGATATGCACTCACGCTTCATGCATATATGTACTCACGTTTCATACATATACGTAGTCACGTTTCATGCAGATATGCACTCACGCTTCATACATATACGTAGTCACGTTTCACATATATGTACTCACGTTTCATACATATACGTAGTCACGTTTCATGCATACATGTACTCACGTTTCATACACCACGTTTCATGCATATATGTACTCACGTTTCATACATATATGTAGTCACGTTTCATGCAAATATGTACTCACGTTTCATACATATATGTACTCACGTTTCATACATACACACGTTTCATGCATATGTACCACAAATACACTGTTTTCATAACCTCCGCCATTTGCAGTACAACATATCCACTCTGCCCATTTCCCTCGACGCGAGATGCAATGGCGTCGCGGTTGTTGGGCCGGGATTTAGTAGGGTACTCGATAGCACACACATGCCAAACCACTACACCTCGAATCGTAATGTCGCTGCAACAGTATCTCGTGACCCTTTTTTCGAGGCCGATAGGGCAGCCAGAGCCCTATGTCACAGCCACAAGTCCACCGAAGGCTACAAGATGGGTCACAAATGCGTCGCTACTCGTAATGAACTAGGACCTGCAACGTATGAGGAGTCGCACCTTGAGTCCATTTTTTTTGGGCCGGGTGAAAGCAAATCTCTAATCTCTCAAAGACACCTTGCGTGCACCGTTGAAGGGGTTCTCCGTTTGGAAGGAATGTGGTGCCGGAGTACTCAGTTGATGGCTGGTTCCGATTTGTTGTGGCAGGAGACTCTCCCCTATTCATTAGTATGTACGTCAGTATAAACGTCGGTATGTACATCAGTATGTACCTAAGGGGAACAACCGCTGCTACGCGTCTGGGTACCCATCTCAAAACCAGAGATCGGCGGCTAGACAGCTTGAGTGGTATGGACAATATAAAGAAACGCCAGGACACGCCGTGCATATGACCTTAAATTAAAAATGGTAAATACACGGCGTTGCCATGGCAACGATGTGGAATAGCCCCTGCAACGATTCTTAGTTAGAAGCGGCAGGCGCGCCGATACTAGCCACCCCACCCCATTGTGTGCGATGAAGGTGCATTCGACCTCCTTAGCGGTGTACACTATGGCGGTATACACTATGGCAGTGTACACTATGGCGGTGTACACTATGGCGGTGTACACTATGGCAGTGTACACTATGGAATCATCGAGTGACATGTGGGCAATGCTCTGAAACTGGAGCCCAGCCCAACTGTCCATGAGGTCACTGCTCTTGATGGTGTCGCTGTCAAGGTGCTTGAACGGGCGTTTGTGGTCGGTGTTCGGTGTACTATACGTTGAAAGAATCCCGTGACACACACCATAGCTGGTAGCAGAGTGGCCTTTCGGAGAGACGTTCTGGCTAGCTAACCCAAAGAGCACGAGCGGTACGAGAGTTGGCTGGTTTGTATGTAACTAGGAGACGTATGATTATACTGAACATCTTTTAGCTCAACTTAGCATACAATACCTTTTTTTGAAATAGACATACTATCTGTAGGCTTGCGTCGACTTCCGGTCAAATCGATGAAATCGTTGTACATCAGCCAGATAAGTTAAAATAATTGACCGTGCATATGAACTAGAATTTAAGGTGAGTACAGAATGTATCCTAAATACAAGAATTTTTCTCGGTCTCACAATCTATATATCACTATCCGTTCTATGCGTATATTTCAAATGGCCAACAATCGAAGTCGACAGCTGTCCAAATAGCAAATCTCCACGGCGTACGAATATGCAATACATACCCAAACTGGTGCAACAACGCGCTATTCTTAAGGCTGACTAATTTTCACATAACAGTTACCACATACCACTAAACCCGTACCACACACCGAACCACTTATTTGTTGCACTGTCCGGGGAATACTATGTGTGCAGTTTGATGATCAATGCACCTCAAAAATAACATATGGGACAGGCGTATAAATCAAGTCACCTAAACCATTGCCCATGTACTATAACTCTCGAACGACATCTTTCATTCAAAGGGAGTCATGTGTATGATTCTCAACCGATGGTGAGCTTTTTGTTAGTCATCGTGGCTGATAGTTACCACTGGGACGAACATACTGAGGTGTGCACGATATTCCTCAAACCCCACGCTACCAACGAACATCTCTGTTGTTTTATTCACACTACTATGGTTTCAACTACGGCATAATTTGAGTGCTTTAAGGTATTGTTCGATTGGAAGAACGGTGTGCTTCTGAGAGAGAGAAAGACACTTTACTACACATAAAATCGTATGAATCACATCTTTGTACTAAAACTGTACCGTCTAATCTACATACACATACTACACAGTGCGATAAGTGCGTCGGTGTGCTATAAGTGCGTTGGTATATACATACTTGCCCGTGTTTACAGTGGTCTGTTTGCTGCAGATACTGACTTTCCTATTTATTTAGATCTGAGATTGTATACATCAATCCACGTAAATATTGCTTTTAGCACATGATATGACGGCCGTGTGTCCGTGTCACATGCCAGTGACAGTGTCAATGCCAGTGACAGTGTCAATGC